CAGCTAAGTTAAGAGCTATAAACTCTGACTTCGTGGTGGGACAAGAAATAAAGATTTGCTACGCAGTCTTCTACGAGATCTTTGCTCCACCTAAAGTAAAATATACCCACTCATAGAGCTTACCTCATGATAATCAGAAACCAGTTGGCATCACAATATCCTTCTAAAATCGTAGAATAGCCAACAAACTCATGTTTCCAATCCATCATACCCTTAAGATATTAGAGTAAGCGTCTAAGAGAAACCCGATGTTCAGTACTTGGGTTATGAGTATATATACTAAGTATGTTCATAGTGTACGCAATATCAGGTCGTATATAGTTCATTAAAAAGTTTAGGATTTAAATTATTTTATCATATTCTATTTGGGAAACATTACTTCCTTTGTTTTTAAAGAGATGTATTCTAGGGTTATAAGGAGTTCGAACAAGGATGACATAAAAATTGTCAAACTTCTTTAACACATACTCGATATAATGTGTTTGATTTAAAGCAAATCCTTTTTTAGTTTTGGTAACTTTGACTCCTAAGATTACATCGACTTCTCCCAAATCAGTCATATCAATTTTAGTGAATAAGAAACTTTTTGTTTTGTTAATGGACTCAATGTTAATACTAAAAATCAACATGTCATCAACATATAAACTTAGGATGATACAATTAGTATCGAACATTCTCGAATACACGCATGCATCCGAACAATTCACAACTAAACCAAAACTAAGGATAGTTTAATGAAATTTCTCATAACACTATTTAAGAGCTTGCTTAATGCCATAAAGAGACCTTTTAAGTCTACACACTTTGCCTTCCATACCAGGTGCCTCAAAGCCTAGAGGTTGCTCCATATAGATCTCCTCATCTAGAACTCTATTGAAAAATACAATCTTCACATTCATTTGATATACTTGTAACATAGTAAAAATAATGCACAGATCGTTCAAATTTTCATTACAGGAGAGTAAGTATCAAATAAGTCTAAACCAAATTTTTAAGTGAACCCTTTGATAACTAGCCTTGCATTGTACCTCTAGATTAAGCCATTTGATCTGAGTTTCATTCAAAAAATCCCATTTATTGTTGATAGGTTTAAATCCTCTAGGCAAGTCCATTAATTCCCAAGTATGATTAGATACTATTGATTCTAGTTCATCATTAATAGCACTTTTCCATAAACTAGTATCAATAGATCTTATAGTTTTCTTATAAGTCTTAAAATCCTCGTCCAACAGAAAGACTTGAGTTATATCAGATATGGAATTTAAATCATTTATCTCATAAAGCTAGTTTCGTATAGTTTAGGTAGAATATTTAATTTAATCAGTTTCTTTAAAGAGTGAATATTCACATGTCCTAATCTAACATGCCACATATCAATAGTTTCAATCGTATAAGCATAAGTGGTAGTTTTATTCTCAATTTCAATAACAAATAAACCTACATTTAAAAAACTTTTCCCAACATAATGACTATTTCAAGAAAATGCAAGTTTATCTGCCTAAAAAACTAGTTTAATACATGACTTATTTAAAAGATCACCACTTATTAAATTTCTACGCTTGGCAGATACATACATAGCATTACTTAGGGCTAAAGTTTTACCGAAAGTTAGCTTGAGTAAAACCTTGCCTTTGCCTAGCACTTCAGAGCTGCTAGAGTTCCCAATTACACACATTCACCTTTTTTCCCATTTTCGAACTCGATGAAAAACTCATTCTTTGTGTAGAAATGTCTGGAAGCATTGGTGTTAACGACCTACTCAATATTGTTCTCCACTATATTACCTCTGAAACCACTATTGCGATGATATCAGTATTGTTCTCTGCAATTTTCATTTATGGTTTGTTTTATTTCTGGCGGACTAAACGATGTTATTGATAGGCTTTGTGACCGAATTGACCGCACACATAACACTTGATAGACTTTCCTTCAATTTTGGCGTTTCTTGATTTTTTAAAGTTGGTCCCTTTTTGAGGTTTTGTCTTCTTGTTCTGATTTCCTATTTTACCGATCTTTTTTAATTTAGACTCTGAGGCAGCACCATATTCAATCAAGTTAGCTTTAAACGATAATTGACCAAAAGAGTTAGCAACCTTGTCTTTCAAAAGGATAGTTTCCTCTATCTTCATGTGGCTCATCAGCTTCTCAAGTGAAATGTTCATCTTCTTGTGTTTGAGAGAGTTAATTTGGTCAAACCAAGACTTGTGCATCTCCTCGATCAGGACATTGGCTTGCAACACTTCACACATCTACACAGTAAAGATGTTAGAGATTTGATTTTCGTAATCATGGACTTGATCTCTAATAACAAAATATTTCTTGATGCATGCATCATCAAAGCCATACTTCTTTTCAAGTGTGTCCCATATTGTCTTAGAACTTCTTTCCTTGAGAAACATGTCGAAAAGCTTGTTTGACTTGTGACTAAAGAGATGGTCACACACCAAATTGTTAACTTTATCAAATTTTTCAACTGCTATGACGACGAAGACAAAGGTGACATCAGGAAGAACTTCATCACTGATTACAGTGATGTATGTTGTAACAAAACTGGTCGTCGGAGTGGTAGGTGATGGTTTAAGCAGTACATAATCTAAGTCAAACTGCTTGAAGAAAATAAGATACGCTAGGACCACCTACAATAAGTGGACCTATCTAGTGCATTAAGCTTGGACAAATCAGGAATAAGTTTGCTAAATGGTGTCGGCATTTTTTCCAGTAAATGAATTTATTTCTAAATTGTTGGAAATAAATACTGCAAAGTACACTGTTAGCAGTGATAGGACAGATTAAAAATAAAATTAGCAAATGAAAACCAAAATTGTGCCGTAATGAAACCACTACCTTAGAAACAAATTCGCCCCGATATGTGTAGTCAATGTGATAGATTTATTATCCCTAAAGGTTAACACGGTCGCTCTGAGAATCCATACACCCAAAACAAGAGTGGACTGTGGTGGTATTGATCTTCTGTAGTATCGAAAAATGTGTAGAAATATTAAAAAGCCTTAGAGAGGAATTGAGAAGATTTTTGAGTTGTTGGATGATCTAAGTAGTTGAAAATGCTTTTCTATTTATATGCTAGATTTAAGGACAAAATCGTCTAAGTAAAATTTAGATTAAATTATGATTTTAATATTTTTCAGATTTTATGGCTTTAATAAATGAATGAACCTGGTCTCAAAGTTGTCCAAGTTCATAATTCAGAGATAGTTGTTACAACAACAAATTAACCTGCAATTAAGCCCCCGTAACTGAAGCAACATAACATCTATCCAATTTATTCTGCATATAGCTGAAATACTGTCCAAATACATCTTATATTCAGAAAAGAAAGAATCCCAAAATGATGCTTCTCAATTACAGCTGACTATTATTGACTTAATTTACATAATTCAAAATGAAATCTAATATAGTTGTTACACCTATGTAAATTTTGAATCGAATAACAGTTCTCAGTTCAGCCTATAAATCTCAAAGAAAATATTCTTTCACAATCTTTATACTAATAACGACCCTCGACCTCGACCACAAATTTCTTATGAATTTTCTCTTTGGAGAAAACCCTGACACGAGATGAGACATTGGTGGCAACGGCGCATAAGGTAGGCCCTTGTTCTCTATCACTCAACAAGGGAGAGAAGTGTGAACATTATAAATACCCTTGCACGTGGTATTTCCCTCTCCATGTGGGATAGTGTCTAAAGCATTACCAACAAAATTTTTGTAACATTTTAGGTGCAATCCATTTTATTAATAAAAATATTAACATTTCATATCGCAACCCACTTTCTTAGTGAATCATGACATTCTTGGGTGCAATTGTATTTGTTATAGATATTTATAACATTTTTAACTTTGAACTTATTTTGTTTTCGTGAGAAAATCTAAGGTTTTATCACCTTAAACTCTGGTAACATTTTAGACGTAATCCATTTTATTAATAAAAATTATTAATGTTCCAGAACATAACCACTTTCTTAATGAATTATGACATTCTTAGGTGCAATTGTTTTTATTATAGATATTCATAACATTTTCAATTTTTATCTTATTTTGTTATTGTGAGAAAATCTAAGACTCCACTAGCACAACTCATTTATTAATGAAAATATTAACATTCCAGATCATAACATACTTTCATAGTGAATCATGACATTCTTGAGTACAACTGTATTTATTATAGATATTCATTACATTTTTAGTTTTTTAACATATTTTGTTATTGTATGAAAATCATATCTTTTCAGCTTAAATTTTGATAATATTTTAAACACAACCTAAAATTTTAATAATACTCCTAACATGTACTATTTATAACTTATTTTCTTATTGTTATAATATTTTATGTAGAAACTATTATGTTACTAAATTTGATAACTTTTTAATTTTTAAATTATAATACTGTGTGTTTCACTTTTAACCTATCACATTTTTCATTGATTACATCATTTAGTAATATTATTTTAACCGCCTAACAACGAAGCTCCCCCGACGTGGAAAGTTCTACAGTGCGGCACCCTTATTATAAGGTTAAAATAAAGCGTTACCGGTTTTGTTATTATTTAAATAACAAAATCGATAAAAAAATTACTTAAAATATTATTATTTTTACTTAAAACATCAATATTTTTTAACATTTATGATAAAGTGCCTAATAATAACCAAATCGATAAAAAAATAACAAAACTGATAAAACGTCCAATAATAATAAAATCGATAACACTTTTTTTAATCGTATATTAAAATTACCGCACATAATTATCCTACGCTTACTATTCAAAGATAAATAAAAGACGTCTTTTAACTTTTGAAAGGGGAAAAGAAGTTTTTTGTTTTTTTTTTTTTTTGAAGAATGTCCTCTTTGATTGTTAATGTCAGACAAAAAATGGCTTCTATTTTAATGGCTGCCGACTTGTCTCCATTCTCAGATTTGCTTCATTTAACTAGTGATCCCTGCACGTCACCTTCGTCACTTTCATTTTCTTACATTTCAAAACCCCTATATAAGCAAATATACCTTGTACTTTCTCTAAACTCTAAAACCCAACTCTCAAAGCATCTTGTTTTGAGAATTCTAGTTGGAAAAGTTTAGGTTTTTTTGTTGAATCGAACCCAGTTTAGTTTATATTCAATGGCGTCCTCGGGACCAAAAGAATCAGCTGCCAATAACCCTGGCCTCCAAACTCCCCCTGAAATCGCCAAAGGCTACTTCATGCAGCAAATTTCTTTTTTGGTGTTTATAATATGTAAATATTATGTTTTTCAATGAATATGTGTAATTATTTTCTTTTCGTTCTCCTTTGGGTTGCAGTGTTTTCGAATTAAGGATCCAAAAATCAGTCTTGATTTTTACTCTAGCATATTGGGCATGTCGTAAGTTTAATTTCATATCTCTTTTTTATTACCTTTTAAAAAAATAATTTGATATTAATAGAAGCAATGAAATCATCATCTCCAGGTTGCTTAAGAGAATTGATGTTCCAGACTTGAAGTTTACCTTGTACTTCATGGGCTATGAGGTATAATGCATATAATTATACTGCAAGAAATTATCCTGCTCGAGGTGTCACCATTTCGGAAATAATAATGATGTTTGATTCTAAATGCTTATTTACCTCGGATGTAGGATGTTTCAACAGCTCCAAGCGACCCGATTGATAGAACAGCTTGGACCTTTACGAAACCGGCTACCATAGAACTAAAACAGTAAGAATACATTATTTCTTGGGGGGGGGGGGGGTTGGAGGAAAAATCAATCCGCCTTTTGTTTTGACAAAATCATCATTCTTCTGACTTGTACCATGTTTAACAGTTTTAATGTTTCCTACAGCAAATGGGGTACCGAAAGTGACACCGAGTTCAAAGGATACCACACTGGGAATTCAGAACCTTTAGGCCTTGGTATGAACAGCTTTTGTATCTTTTATAATGTTCATTTCTTCTAGTGTCTTATGATCTGTGCTTCAAAGAAGAGTAGTTTAAAAGTATGATTATTTCTTTACGATAAAGTCTCCGGCTTTATAAACAACTATTCTGTAATTGATCAAACAGATGCTGCTTCTATGTTCAAGTCGATAGAAGACCGGCTTTTTTTTTTCCTTTTTCTTTTCTAAATATGCGAATTTTGTATTTGAGGAATTTTTGGGATATTTTAGGTAGTAATCTGTCCTTTTTCCCTTTTCAGGGCATCTTGGCATCAGTGTTGATGATACATTCAAGGCATGTGAGAAGTTTGCAAGGCATGGAGTAGAGTTTGTCAAAACACCAGAGGATGGTAAGACATCACTGTGGATGATACTAATAGTGAAAGTTATGTCTGAAATATTTGCTTTCTGATTTCTTTGAAAATGCTTTCTCATGCCTTGATTTACCAATCTGATTTGCAGGGTATGCATTAATCAAAGATCCCGATGGTTATTGGATCGAAATCTTTGATTTGGTTAATATCATAAACGTGGTTAAGGGTTTTGCCTGAGTTAGCGCTTCACAAAGTTCAGGTAGCTTTTGGAGTATTTATCAGAGACTTCTTCTATCGTGACGTATCTTTGATCATTGGAAATGTATCTGATACATAGGTGTTGATGCCAGGAAACGAGGATGGCATATGTTACAGGTTTCATTCATTTCGGTTCAACGGTGTGTAGTCCTATACATCATCTTCTGCTTTCCGGAACTTCTCGATGGAAGAACTCGGTGAAATATTATATGTATATTTTATTCAAGTATATGTATTCTGCAAGTCTGATATGTATATACCAGACAGGATAAAGTGAAAATAAATATTTTTGTAGGAGAAACTGAACCTTGAAATTTAATAAAATCAGCTTAAATTTCCTAAAATTTCATGTCTATGTACCATGTATGTGCTTACCAAGTCAAGCATGAAGTGGAAAAAATAGAATGACGAAAGCACTAAAACTTTAAACCATTTATCAAATATTATCCCTTTTCTTTATTAACAAGAAGTTTGGAATGGGGTAAAGAAAAAGCCTTTTCTTTATCATTGATCAAACTCAAAACTCACAATATTTCAAGCTCACAACTTTGGAGTACCTTAATTGTAATAACTGCGGTATAATCAATTTAGACCTACTAATAATATTATACAAATATGAAGACTAAATTATACCAAATAAGGGGAATTAAATCTCGAATTTCTGCACAATAGAGGGACTAAAATCAAAATTAGACCACTTAAGAACAATAAAATTATTAAGGTGGAATTTGCCTTGAACTACTTTAAATTTTGTTTCTTTGTAAACTCAGATCTGAGAAAGTTTGGTCAAACACTGTAAGCTCATTTCTTTCTTATGGTATGCAACAGTCGAGAACAATGAAACAATCTTAAAAATTCATTTAATTTAGTGCCCCATATTGATTAAATAAAAAAAATTGTTAGATCACTATATAGGAGCAATTCTCTCAGCTGTTTCAGATGAGGCTATTTCCCCATGCATCCATTTCTGCAACATTTGTAATGAAGCTTTTGGTTGATCCATTGGAACCATGTGACCTGCCTCATGTACCTGCAATTTGTCATCATCATGGGCACAATTAAGTACCATTAGAGAAAGCACACGGATGAATGATAATTGCAGATTATAAAGATTGCATTTTTCAGAGTTCAGACCTTGAGGAAAGTGAGAGGACCATTGCTCTTCAGTTTCCCTGCTTCGATACCATCAACGATGAACGGGACGATAAGCGATGCACCGAAATCTTTCTGCCCGGACCATGTCATCGCATGAACCCACTTCGAATTCCCTAACCGTCCGAAAAACACGAGTTTAGAAGAGCAAGGCACTAAAAAGAAGAAGAAGAAGAAGAGTGTCTCACCAAGCCAGTTACATATAAGATCATACTCCCCAGCATATATAAGGACCTTGATGCCATTTTCAAGAAGAGAAGGAATGCCGACTTCGAAATTTCTCATCCAGTCCATAATCATAGCTTCGTACACCACGCTGCTGCAAGACACGAAATCTATGTCTCCAACCCCGAGTGCTTCCCTAACTGATTTCAGGTTCAGGAAAGTCTCCACGTCTGAGAAATCGTAGCACAAGTCGTCGTCGCACTGCTTTCTAATGTCGTAGTACTGAACAATTAATAACAAAGAATTGAAATTTGTAAGAATCTTAAACCATTTCTGCAATATATATAATAACAAAAGATAAAAGTTTATGCTGTCTTACATTTACATTACCAGCAACTCTCATGATCAGATTGAATACATTGTTGCATATTTCATAAGAATCAACACAAGCATCTCCACCATCAGTACCTGGAACGGTATTTGAAAATGAGTATCAATTTGCAAAGGAAAAAATATAGAGATATTGACATTAGTCATTTACAGCTAAGAGGGAATACCACAGCTTTTAATTGCCTCCATGCATGATGGAACCGACTTCTTGATATTAACATAATCAGATTGTGAAATTAAACTGGAGTTCAAAGCATAATCTGGGTATGCTTGATATTTGAATTTCAGGGTTCGTTAATCCGTTGCCGATGGCAAAACCCTGTTTCATCCATTCAAGTTTGAACTAAATGAAAAAAGTCCATATTCAAATGAGGCTTATATGAAGTTTCAGGTAATATGAACCTTAAAGTTAATATGAATTCCCTCTTTAGCTTTATTTCCCTCGTGAACTCGAACTGCGAAAGCAGGAATGTAATGCCCGGCATACGATTCTCCGGTTATGTAAAAGTCATTCTTAACATACTGAGGATGCTCCATGAAAAGGGCCTGCAAGAAGTCATACAAATCGTTGCTGACACCATTTTCATCGTGACGAATGTCGGTATCATCTGAAGTATAACTTAAACCGGTTCCAATCGGCTGATCTATGAACAGAATGTTCGATACCTACCAAGGGACAATAAAAATGTGATTTGATGAAAGGAGAGATATATAAATATATATATATATATATATATCATGAGAGTGTCGAAGAAAATCATGGGATTTTATTAGATACCTTGTCCCAGCCATAGTCATTCCATAAAAGTGACAAGTTCTTAGCTAGATGGAAAGGACCATTTTCATAAAACAATGCCAATTCACTTCTGTATCCTGGACCTCCATTCAACCAAATCACTACCGGGACTTTCTTGCTGTTCCGAGATTCGAAGAAAAAGTAAAACATCCTGCTAATTTTTGTGAACAAGATCAATAACCCAAAATTAGTTGTATGCAAAGATTTAATACACTTATTGTCTACACTGATATGCCCATCAGTTTCTGGATTGTTCATCCATCATTTTCAAACTTGTGGTAGCAACATATAAGAACCATGACATACATACATACATACATACATACATACATACATACATACATACATACATACATACATACATACATACATACATACATACATACATACATACATACATACATACATACATACATACATACATACATACATACATACATACATACATACATACATACATACATACATACATACATACATACATACATACATACATACATACATACATACATACATACATACATACATACATACATACATACATACATACATACATACATACATACATACATACATACATACATACATACATACATACATACATACATACATACATACATACATACATACATACATAGGATTACCTAGCAGATTTAGAATGTGGAAGATTATAGTATCCAGCATGGTGAGCAAACTTGTCAAAAGGGGCAGGAGCACAAAGCAAAGGGAATCTAAATTGCCTTTCAGCAACCTTTGAATTCTCAGCCGTTAGGTCCTTGGTACCTTCATTAGCATCATCTGCTGGGAACAAATTAAGTCCTCTTATGAGCTTTTGTGCTTGTAGTTTTGCGGGGGTGGAAATAGCCTTGGCCGAGATTGGTGAAACCAGCAAAAACAGAGAAAGCAAAAGGAGTTTCTGAAAGGAAGTTGAGGCCATGTTTTGTGGGAGATTGCTGCAAATTCTGTTTATTTGTTTGATTTATAATAGAGTCTAACGGACCCCACTCGGGGACAATGTCCATTGATTTTGCATGCTTCAAGTCTCTAACTTAACATTGTTATTTTTTTAAAAAATGTCTTTAAAAAATACCCAGACAAGTCTTTCTTTTACAAAGTATTATGAAAAACAAAATTGTTTTTAGGGAAATGTAATAATTTTTTACTTTGAGAATATTGCATTAAATGTTGTGAAGAAAAATGATGAATGTCTTGCATCCTTTAGAACTATTTTAGTCTCAAGAATAATTAATTAGAGGCTATGGTTATGGATAGTTTAAAATTATTAATAAGAACATTAATAATTTACATTAACAGAGTGTTAATCATTTGTATGACATATTTTCTCATTAACAAACAAAGCTAATTTATTATATATAACTATAAACTCCCCCCAGTAACCCCTCTATTTCTCCAATGACTAAAATTGAATGATGGTAAAGAAAATGTTTTAAGTAATCTAATTTTTTATATTTATGTGTGTGGTGTGTGCGAATTCATCTTTATTTAAAGTTACACACATATATTACTTTATAATTATATTATAATCTTTAAAACATTATAAAAATTCATTTATTGAGTATACGAACCAATGTACCTCAATAGTTGAAGGAATTGTTGTTGTTCCTAGAAGTCATAGGTTCAAGCATTAACGACTGCTTGCTGTCAAATGGTTGAGAATATTTAGAACAAATACTACTTTGTAACCACCTTAACTTAATTAAAAACAAGTTTGTAAAAAGTTATTTTGTTTTCCTTGTGATTGTTAACTTCTTTTCTTGTTTCAAAAACATAATTATGTAACAGCTTTTCTCCCATTTCCTTTTTCTTTTTCGTCATCCAATGATGGAAATTGGGCTTTCAAGACAAGCTTATAACAACAATGTTGCTTACAAGATATCAAAAACATAATAAGTAAAGAAAGTGCCATCATGCATGATTTCACTCAATGTTTTAATGGAACAATGAAATGAAAAGCACTTACCCATATGCAGGGATGGACCGAAGGGGGCAATCGTTCCCTTGAAAATTTAAAATTTTTTTGTATTTAGATTTTTTTCTATGTATTTTCAACTCAATATGCTTTCACCCTTTATAATTTTAAAGTTCGAGTTCACACTTGAAATTTTAAAATTTCAAATTCGCCTCTAACATAAAATTCTGCGTCCCTCCTTGCCCTATAGGTGATTTCATAATCATACTTGACCCATGTTATTATTATTACTACTCCATTAATTATATCCTAAAAATCCTTAAAAGGAAATTAGCAGTATAATGAACGGCATCTCCGGAAACGTCAATAAAAAACATGGCTCAATAATGGAGAAATCTCATATATACACAAAAGTTAAATTACACTTTCCATTTTACTTTAGTTTTTTTTATCATTCAATTTTCTAGCACTACATTAATGACGTGACACATTAACATAAATAAAGATTGAATATAATTTGATACAAACTTTGATAGACTTTGTAAGAATTGATGATGAACACTGTGTCAACAAGAAACAGGTTAGCATCACATGACATATTCCGTGTAAGCTTCCGAGAAAAGGAAAAGGAAAAGGAAAGCAAATTGGACTCTTCGGATTTAACGAGAAAATATTAGCCAGAGGTACATTATAAAGCATTCGAGCCAAACATACCTCCTGTGCTGCAGCCTGAACTGGCTGCTTCATCTTCTCCTTCCTGACTGCTTCCGGAAGCTGTGCAGCTGTCTCACCAGCAATTGCTATCAAAACCTTGTCAACTTCTTCTTCTGTCTCCTCTTCTATATCCTCGGAATCCAGTGCATTGTCAAGGGCATCATTGACAAACTCCTCAATAACACCTGCCTACATTAAAGAATAACTATCTGTTGTCTCGTTTAAGATAGCCGCCATACTCATAATCACATTAAAGAGATGGTTTAAGCTATCAGAGAGTCCCCAACCATGTCAAAATTAGCAACGGAAACTCCAAGTAGCAAACAAAGCTAGAGGGGAGAACAACAGCTCAGACTGACGCCAATTACAGTAAAGGGCAATTATAAGACAATATTTTCCTTGATACCTAAATGATAAAAGTAATAAAGAAACCTTAGTCATCTCTTTGCTGAACTCTTGCATTGTGACAGCCACTTCTGGAGCCTTCATAAGGTTATTGACAAGCTTCATAACCTCAGCACTCTAGGACAAATGGCCAACTGTACGGGCAATTGCTGCAAAATTTTCAGAATTATAAACAAATTATTGAGAATGAATCTAAGAAACAAGTAGTTCATCAAAAACTTAGAACACAATGAGCAAATTAAACACTTTAGATTGAATAAATTTAAAATGAAATACTGGAGAAAAACAAGTTACACAGGTTGATAATACCGTTCTTCCCATGATTAAAAGAGCATATAAGCAGAACAGAAATGTTAACTTAAATCTGTAAAACATCATACCAACACTTTCCCCATGATTGTTCCATGGCATGTGCCTATGATTGTGTTGGCATGTAACTAAAGCTTTAGGTATAGTTTTAAAAAAATTGGTACTAAAACAAACCAAAACTAATAGTTTAGATACTAAACACTTAATTTATCCTTATAAAAATTGTAACACCTCCGAGGTGTCATATTGACTTTTCAAAACATTTACTTGTACAAAATAGTGAATAATTTTAAAACTTTCACTAAATAAAACTGAATAATTTATAAAAATTATCTTAAAACAATTTATAAAACTTATTAGCGCATAAGCGGTTTAAAGCTTTAGTTACATGCCGACACAATCAATATTACAAAATACATACCATTCAATTCTTTTCTGATCTGATCTTTGGAAAGGAGAAACTGACCTGTCTTGCTTAACTTTTATCATTCTTCCTCTTCTCGGAACTTACGTGTGAAACAATCACACGCTAAATCGTTGACTTAGTGATGCATATAAAACATGTTTTAACCATAAATCAAGCTTGAAAATGAATCTACAACCTCTAAATCATCAAGATTTATCATCAATTTCATGAATCATATCATGAACATAAACCCTTAGATTTGGGATCTTTGAAATCCAACAAGATTAGTAAGAAATATTGCTACTAAATGATAGAGTTTTTCGCGTAGCTCATTTTCCTATTTCACGACATAACTCGAATTCCAAAGAAATTAACTCAAAAATTGAAAACAAAATTTCTTTCTTACCTTGGAAGAACTCACATGAAGCTGCTCGAAAAGATGAACATTGGCATGATATTTCTTCATCTTTCTTAATTAATAATGAATTAAAAATTAATTAAATGTCAAATTACTAGTTTACCCTTAATATCAAAATATTCATATTAATTTATCCTTAATGAACTTGATATTTATATTAATACCAAGTTACAACAACCTTATCATCTTTCAATAGTCAAAGACTGACAAAATATTTTCCCACTTTACCATTTTTCCCTTGCAATTTCCAAAACTTAAAATTCAGTCACCTTAATCCAACGGTCCAAATTAAACATGAAATTAAACTATTAAATATTATTTTCCAAAATTTTAAAATGTGAAAAAATATATTTATTTCCTTATTTTCGTGACCAATTTGTAACTTTTTAAAATTATCATTTTGGTCCCTAAACTTTTCAAAGTTTATATTTTGGTCACCAAACTTTACAAATTCTTATAATTTGGTCACTAAACTAAATCCATTTATAGAATAAAATTATTTTTGGGAAAATACCATTTAGGTCTTTAAACTTTTCCCCATTTTCTACTTTGACCATCAAACTTTCAAATTTTGCATTTTAGTCATTATCCCACTTTTTGGGATGTTACAAAAATTGTGAACAATGCTATAAAATAAATTTACTGTTTTGAAATAAAGAAAATAAAGTATTGTGTAAAAAAATAACAATAGAAATAGAATAATAAATATAAAATTTTATATTATTTTCTTAATTTAAAATATGTAGAATTCTTCCTTTAAATTTATGTTTATAAATATAAGGAATAGATATTCGATCTGAATTAATCAATTAATAGATTGGACACCGATAACTATAAAAAATAAAAAAATTTGTATTTATTAAAATATAATAAGATACTAAACTTTGCTAAATTTAAAGAGTATATCTTACATATAAACAAAGTCTATAGACTAGGGATGAGCGTTTGATTAAGTCGAATAAAAAAATTGAGTTATTTAAGTTAACGAATTTTATTTTATAACTCAAATTTAACATAAAATTTTTAGTCGAGTTAAATTACTCAACTTTCTATTTAAATTAAATTATAAACATTTATATATTATATTACTATTTGATTACAATTTAATTGTTTTTCTATAACCATATACATTATACAATACATATATGTTTATTTATATATTTTTCTTCACATACGATATACATATATCATGCAGAGTCGAAGGATTCAACTCAAACTTAAAATTCAATACGCTAATTAATAAAATTTTCGAGTTATTTGAGTTGTATTTTATAACTTGATTTGAACTTAAATTCTTTTTAATCAAATTTATGAAATTACAATTCAAACTTAATTCGAGTCGAATTAAATAAAAAAAATCAGCTTTTCGAGTCGAGTCGAGTCCACCCCTACTATAGACTGTAACCCTATAGAAAGAATCATCCTTTCCCTTGTTTCGTTTTGTTTTTTTCTTTTAAACAACCAAAAAAATGAAGAGATATCGAGTATTCTTTACCTTCTCTTAAAAGTTACGAGGCGAATGTAAAAATGGGGGGAAACTGAACCAGCATAGCATTTTAACCTGTAAATATTAGATCGAAAAGGGCAGAAGAAAACCCAGATTATATATGCACCAAATATTCAAATGATAGGTTAAAATAGTACACCGAAAACTTAAAAGGAGCAATACATGATACTGATCAAGATGAAGTGATGAACAATGAGTTTTGAAACCTAGTTGTTAACACAATTTGTTGTCCAAGATAAAACCCAGTTTAACTCATCAACCTTTATTATCAAACATCGCGGAGAATAACTCACAGGAACTTCCTGTATGGCCTACCATTATCTTCATCCTGCATATGCTATAGGAAAATTTACCAAATCATTACAAATGCATAAAAGGAAAATAAAAATGAAAAAAAAAGGAAACACCTTACATCTCTATTGCAAGATGTTCTCGCAGAAAACACAAGACAAGAATCAAACATGATCTTGCAGCACAAAAATGGGAACCAACAACCGAAATTGTTAAATCAAAGCCGCTGAATTAAAAGGAATTTGTAAGTGGCTTGGTTTCATCTACCAATACCTTCCATGTTAAAAATCAAATACCATAATAGATCAAACATTTACCATTTAAGTCCACATTTTGTTATTCTCCTATCACCAAAACACAATATTCAATGTTCCATGAACTACCTTTAGAATTTTTTGTATCATTTTTCTCTACGCCTTGTTTCCTTGCTAAACTGTTAACCTGTTCTATGGCTGACCAGTGAATACCAAAGAATAGTTCACCACAGTTTCAAATAGTAACACTTCCATGGGAAGAATCCTATAGGCAACAATAGAACAAAAATGTTCTTATGGGAAGAATCCTATAGTGCATTTTTTTGGTGTATTCTTGCTCCGCAACACACTTCATTTATATGATTGTTGATTTTTTTATGGGAATACGTATGTTAGGATAAAAAGAGAAGTCCATGTTAATATAAATCCATGTAAAAATTTACAAATTATGATCTACCACAAGTTCGAAAAAATATAGTGCCAGTAAAAAAGAACTTTTTTTACACTATAATGCATTACCATTTTTTCTACCAACGCATAAGAAAATTTTACTGCAGTAATGGCTAAAATCAAGCCAACCCTAGGGTTTACTCCAAAAAAAAGTTTCAGTCAGGCAAAAACCAATGTTTAAAGCCTTTCTTCAAAATAAGAAACCCCAAGGAAAATCATTCAGAACCCAATAAACAGTAATCAATCAAAACGACAATGATTACAATCAAGCAGTCAGTCTTGACAGGAATCATATAGCCCCAAATCAATTTTACAAATTATGGTCTAGCAAATGTAAGACGAAACATGGTTCCATAAAGGAGAAAGGTCTTTCTTTTACGTCGTAGTTCGTAGGGCACATCACCAGTTTTTTTTTTTTAACCAAAGCAATACATCTCAGCATAAATAATTTAGCTAACTAAATGAAATCAAGCCAACCCAAGGATCTACTCCACAAAATATTTCAGTCGGACAAATATTCAATTTTCAAAGCCCTTTTTTAAACCGGAAACCCTAAGGAAATCAATCGGGAACCTAATAAACAGAAATCAACTAAAACGATAACAGTTGCAGTCAGGCAGTGGATCTCAACAAAATTGGTGCATGCCCTTATTCAATTAATCAAATAAAAACCGAAACACCCAAATTAAACCACTTTTAAAATGCAATAAAAAATAGGTAAAGTATAGTAATGGTCACTGAACTTTTCTGAAGCTTGCATTTATATCCCCCAACTTTTAAAACTTACAAGACAATCCTCCAACATTTAGTCCGTTTGCAATATGGTCACTGAACTTTTCAGGCGCTTGCATTCAGGTCCCCCAACTTTAAAACTTGCAACATAATCCTCAATTTCATTCTAAAACTCAAATTCTAAAATAATTCAATTACATTATAAACCTTAAATTCTAAAATACTTTAATTTAGGGTTTAAAATATAATTAAAATATTTTGGAATTTGAGGTTTAGAATATAATTGAAGTGTTGAAATTTTGAACATGAATTTTCTATTTGACAGTGTTTATTTCAATATAAATTTGAGGTTTGTTACATGCACATCCAACGGCTGCTGCATTTTGAACATGAAAAGTGCACCTATCACGTTTATTGCATAAACCGTTGAAGTAAAAGTAACAAGGCCAATTTGTCTTGTTCGTAGCTGTCGTACTTTGGTATGACAATCCAATAGGTTTGGATGAAACTTGAGCATGCACATCCAACGGCTGCGAAAATAGTAAGGAGTTTTAGTTCATAGGACTACAACATACAACCAAGCAATAACTAAAATAAACCAAGAATATCAATTAATAACTTATTCAAAAGTAGGACTTAATAAATAAAGGGAAAAAGGTTCGGTCATAGTTACTCCAAAAGCTAAGGCGTCAAATGGGCTGTTTAATATAGACATTAGATGTCAAATACAACATTACTAGTTGTAAATGCATTAATGGAATACCCTTTTAACATATAATTGCTTATAATGATCCATGTTTAATGTTCCTCAATAGCCAAACATGAGGAGAATCTAAAGTAGATAACGGAACTAAAATCATAGAACCCATAATTCTTGTAAATTCATGGCATGTCAGCAATAAAAGACATTATAAAACATAGAGGACATTGCAACAAACATATATATGCCAGAAATGAAGGTACAAATGTGCAATGATTGGGCAACATATCAAGTAGCTGCTCCAAATATATTACCTTGTCATGATGCCTTTCGAGTTGCGTGCATGCATAATTGTCTTCTAAAGCTATAATTCAATACATATTCAACTGTAAAATTTCCAAAACATGTAAAAAATCCAATTCGTCCATGATATATCAGTCTCATAATTAACATGAACTTATTAAAAAGAATACGAGTTCACAGGACGCCAAAAACCACAAGTCGGATTAATATAATTCCAGTAAACTAGTACCAACGGTCTCTTAGACTGAGCCTAGAGATTTCACTATGTCGATACTCACAACCAATTCCCTAATTTAAAGAAAAACCAAACAAGAAGATCAAAAAAATTTAGCCTAGGGCCCTTTTTCACTTCTATTCTGATGGACTAAATATCTTTCATAAGGAGTACTAAAATTTTTTATTAAGAAGAAATAAAGAAAATTATATGGTTTTGGTTCAAAACTAACACTGAATATCCAGATCCTTGAAATGCAGTTCCAGAAACATAAAAATTTCAACAAAAAACACACAATGCAAGCTGAAAATGGGAAAATGCGAAAGAGGAAAAGCTTACTTCTGGATAGCCCAAAAGAGAAAATAAATACCTTCTTGCAAGTGAGGGGAGAGGCTAAGAAATAAACTCAATCGATGTTGTGTTCCAGCAATTCTTCCTCCATTTTTTTCTTTGTAAATAAAAAGCTGAAAGACAAAGCACAACTTGGGTTTACAATTTTACATGGAGGAAAACTGAAGAACACAAACCAAACGAGAGTGCATGTGAGCGAAAGAGACTGAGAGGTGAAAGAACTATTTGGGATTTCATTATATTTGATCATATGTTGGGAAATCTTTAACCACAAGGATTAAACAAAGAAATTATTATATGTCATTTATACAAAATAATTCCAGCTTTTTTGTTGACTTTCAACAATTATACTTAGTTCATCTTAGTAGTATTTGTCAACTCTGCATTTCTAAGCCCATTTTTTTCTCACAAGCATTTCATCGAACATCTATGCTTCACCTGAGATGACTTGTATCTAACATTACACTTTGAATCGTTGATGGTCCCGATAGTTCCTTGGTCGGGTCTTTTCTTAATAAACCCTTATTCAAGTTAACACCTCCACAAAATTCAAAGTTAGATTAGAATTTCCCATGCATCCCTGACTGAAAAGTTACGCTGAAAATGAGAAGAGAGAAGAGAAAAAGGAAATTCAAGATCGAAAAGGAATTTGGGGTTTAGAATGAAATTGAGGATTATGTTGCAAGTTTTAAAAGTTAGGGGACCTAAATCCAAGCATCTAAAAAGTTCGTTGACCTTATTGAAAACGTACTAACGGCAATGTAACGGCGTCAAACGGTCAGTTACGTCGGGGACCATATTGTAAACGAACTAAATGTTAGAGGACTGTATTACAAGTTTTAAAAGTTGGGAGACCTAAATGCAAGCTTAGAAAAGTTGAATGACCATTACTATACTTTACCCTAAAAAAATTAAGAACGCAATAAACAAATCAAAGGTTAAATCGATAAATCGAGGGGTAAAAGCTATAAAATTAAAGGAGAGATGGAAAGAGAAGAATACAAATTCTCGAAAAATGCCCTTGTAGACAAGGACAGGGATAGCGATGCCGAAAATGCCGACGAGAGTCAAGTTACGGCGAGTCCAGCGAAAATTGTACTCCAAATTCTCTCGCGCAGAGCTCCAATCTTCGATGAATCGGTTTTTGTTTGCCTCCATTCCTCCCCCAATCTTTTCTCCCTTGCTTCTTTCTCTTCTCTTTCCGCTGTGGTATACTACTTTAGCTTCTCTTCTTTAGTGTATCTTTGATGCTATTTATTTTCGCCTCTTCTTACAACGGACTCTTCGGCTGCATTCCTTTTCCTATTCCACCCTCATATTTTTAACTACAAAATTAAACTGGTGGTATCTTATATTTTTTGTTTGTTCGGTTTTCGTTATTGGTTTTGAAAACGTTTGGTTTTGGTTACTTTTATTTTCGATCCGTCTCATTTTGATCACTAAATTGTAGTGGAGTATTTGGTTCGGTTTGGTTCAGTTTTTAACTAAAATATGAATTGAACCGCACTTATAAGGTTTTCAAAAGTTGAAACTGAAACTGAATGACATAAAAATCGTGGTTTTTAGTTCGTTTTTATGATTTTAAATTGTTCACTATTTTTTAAATTCAACCTTAAAAAAATTTAAAGTTCAAATCTAGTGCAAATATATAAATTTAAATTTATAAAAAAAGTATTATTAGTTTTAAGATTTTATTTATTTAATTTTGTCTTATAATAAATTGAAAACGAATTTTCAAGTTAACTTCAATTTGGCATAATTTGGTTTCTTAACAAGTTTCTAATTAACCATACGCATCATATCATTTGCAACTTAGCACTTATGCATCTTTATTATTTCACATTCTTTCTGTATCATTAAAAGTGCTATTAACCATGTCTTTGTAGACTAGTTTTAAATACAACATACCTCCTTCACTACATCTGTAGACACATATTTTCGTTCGGGGTTTATTTAGTATATATATATAATAATATAATACATAGTTTTTAGAGAACGATTTTTCAAACATACAATATATGGTTTTTTAAACAAAATAGGTTTTGAAATATTTTAAAAATAAAACATATATTATATAGTTTTGAGAACATTTTTGAAAATATATATATATAGTTTTGAAAATATTTTTGAAAACATATAATATAATTTTAAAACGTTTTGAAAATATATAATATATAGTTTTGAAAACATTTTTTAAAATATATATATATAGTTTTGAAAACATTTTTGAAAATATATATATATAGTTTTAAAACGTTTTGAAAATATATATATAGTTTGGAATTTTTTTTTAAAATATATAGTTTTGAAAACATTTTGAATATGTATAATATATAGTTTTTAAAAGGTTTTGTGTTGAAAATATTTTTATGTTTCGATATAACAAACTAAGTATAAATGAATTTTAAGATTTTACAAAGATTTTTATAAGTATATTCAATTCAATTAATCGAATATCAAATTATTACTCCAAGTCTTTCAAGATCAATTTCAAACCTTACTAAATGTGTAAAATTGTGTTTTATACTTAATATATTTATGAAACAATTTTCACAAAGTATTTTGAACCGAAATCAAGCCTAAAATCAATTTTTCAAAGGGATGCACCGATGCACCAAACCATGCATCGATGCACCAATGAATAAATTGAACATCGAATGCAGTTTATGCACTGATGCACTCTCCATGCATCGATGCACTCAGGTTTTAATGAAAACATTGAATGCATTTTATGCATCGATGCACACACCATGCATCGATGCACTTAGGCTTATTCAAAAAATCGAATGCATTTTATCCATCGATGCACACTTAGTGTACCGATGCACTAAGTGTTCCAACGGTCAAAATATTTGAATTTTACACTTGATGCACCGATGCACCTTGTGTATGTACCGATGCACTGACGCTCCCAACTGATTTTATTAATTGTTTTCACACTTAAACGGCTCTATTGACTCCACTAATCATCCCCAATGTTCAGAATCAATTGAAGGAGTATTTAAACAACCTTAGAAGCCATTGATCAATAACAAGAAACTAGAATCAAGAGAGAATCAAAGAGAAAGCATTAAACTCATTGTTTGAGTACTTCAAGCCTATTTGTCATTCAATATTCATTTTGCTTTGAAGAACACTAATTGTACTCAATTGTATTCATTCTTGAGTGTTCTTTTCTTTGTTCTAGAATTATGCAAACACATTTACCTTGTGATATTTTTTCATTAAGTTTGCAAATTTGTAATCTTCTCTTTTAGAAAGAGTGTTCTAAAGAATTGGGGTATATTCTTGAGGGAGTTGTAAGGTTATCTATTTGGCCTCAAAAGAAAGAACAAATTAGTGAATTTGTTGGAAAATCCTTAGTGTGGATAGCTAAGTTGAGAAAGTCAAACCACTCTAAATCGTTGTGCAATTACTTTCAATTTTCTGTAAAAGCTTCCACCAAAATTTTAATTGCCAATTCACCCCCTCTTGGCCATATTCGTCGATCAATTAACTCAACAATTGGTATCAGAGCATCACTCATTTGAAGTTTTAATCGTCTCTTGAGTTGATTCGGGAAGAGTTACATCGATAATCAAGTCATCAATAGCCTCCACTTCAAACTTAGACTCCGGTCTCGATTCGATGCCCGTCAACAAGACTCATTTCTTCAATGGAGCTAACTATTCCTATTGGAAGAATAGGATGATGTATTTCATTCAAGTAAGTGACACGGGAGCATGGAATGTTATAGAAGACGGATATATCAAGCCTCTCACTCATCCAAGATTTTGGAGTGAAGGAGAGACAAAAATGTTCCAGCTCAACTCCAAAGCCATTCATATCATATTTTGTACTCTTGGACCAGATGAGTACGGAAGGGTTTCATCTTGTACAACAGTCAAAGAATTATGGGATAAACTACAAGTCATTCATGAAGGCACGGACAAGGTAAAAGAATCTAAAATTAGTCTTCTAACACATAGCTATGAAAAATTCAGGATGAAACCAAATGAAGATATCAAAGCTATGATGGATAGATTTTCAACGATTGTCAATGGTCTCAAATCATATGGAGAGATCATTCCAAACGAAAAGCTTGTGAGGAAGTTAGTTTACCCACTTCTAAAATCATGGCAATCAAAGAAGACGGCAATCATCGAGGCTAAGAACCTATAGTCCTTAACTCTTTAAGAGCTAATCGGTTCCCTCCTCAATCATGAAATGATGCTTGAAGATGATGTGGACCTCGATAAGATTGACGAGACACCAAAGGATAAAGAGAAGAAGAAAAACATTGGAGTTGCTCTTAAATCCACAAAAGATGAGAGTGATTCGGATGAAGATGACGATGACGAGGAAATGACATTGTTTGCCAAACGGTTCAGAAAAATGATGAGGCCTAACAAAGGAAGAAAATTCAAACAAAATGAAGGCTTCAAAGATGAACCTAAAGAGAAGGACCCGATCATTTGCTATGAATGTAAAAAGCTGGGGCATGTCAAATATGATTGCCCACAATTGAAGGGAAATGGTTAATCAAAGAAAAAGCACAAGGCTCATGTAGCTACATGGAGAGATGAAGAAGGTTCCGATGAAGAGGAACGAGAAGTAGCAAACTCGTGCTTAATGGCATTCGTGAAAGATTCTAAGGTAACATTTAACTCATTTGATTTAGATGATTTATCTTATGATGAGTTATTAGAGGAATATAATGGGTTGGCTTCGGATTATGAGAAATTGTTTTTAAAATACAAAAATTATATTTAAAAATTAAAAAATAAAAATAATCTCATATCCAAGACCAACAATGATCTTGAAAGTAAAATCAAAGATTTACAAATCAAACTAATAGAGTTTGAAAAGAAAAATACTGATTTGCAAAATTTACTTTCAAGAGTCAATGATGATCATCAAAAGGAAATTGATGATCTTAAAGCTTCTTTTGATAAAGTTGAATCAAAACGTTTTGAAAAAAGAGAAAATTCAAAAATCAACTTTGTTAGAAAAAGTTTTAGAAACTACAATCATTGAGGTCCCCGAAGAACCTCTAATGGAAAAATCGTTAGAAGTATATGGGTTCCTAAAGAACTCATTACTACAAAAGATAAGGATATCCTACACAAATGGATACCTAAGGGGACTAGGGATTTGAAAACTAATGAATATGGACCCAAAAGAATTTTGGTACCAAAAATCAAAAATTAATCTATGTTTGTAGGAAAAGGAGTGACCGGAGACAAACTCAAACTCATGGTACCTTGATAGTGGATGCTCAAGACACATGACCGGAGACAAAAGCTCAACGCCAAAAATAGAGGAGAAGTGACTTTTGGTGTAAACTCAAAAGGTCACATTGAAAGTATAGGCACTATAGATAATACCTCTTCCATACAAATTAAGAATGTTTTATATGTGAATGGATTAAAGCATAATCTTTTGAGTATTAGTCAATTTTGTGATAAGGGATTTAATGCCATGTTTAAAACTAAGGGTTGTAAAGTTATTGACATTGCATCTAATCGGATTATGCTTGTTGGTCATAGAATATAAAATATTTACATGGTGCATTTAGATTCTATAGATATGACTAATTCATGCCTAGTTTCTAAGGATGAGCATGATAGGTGGTTATGGCATAGGAGACTAGGACATGCTAGTATGAGTGTTTTGCAACGGCTAATTCAAGGAGACTTAGTAAGAGGGTTGCCTAAACTAAAATTTGATAATGATAAAATCTGTGATGCTTGTGCTAAAGGAAAACAAAGAGGGTTTCTTTTATATCCATTAATGACGTATCAACTAGTAGAGTATTACAATTGATCCATATAGATCTTTTTGGGCCAACTAGGACTACTAGCTTGGGTGGAAAACAATATGCATTTGTCTTGGTAGATGACTATTCTAGATATACTTGGGTCTTATTTTTAAGTACTAAAGATGAAGCATTAGAACATTTCATCACATTTTCAAAAATAATCCAAAACGAAAAAGGATATTCTATAACTAGTGTTAGTAGTGATCATGGCACTGAATTTGAAAATCTTGGATTTACTGAGTTTTGTGATTCTAATGATATTAGTAATAATTTTTCAGCACCTAGAACCCCACAACAAAATGGAGTTGTTGAGAGGAAAAATCAAACTTTAGAAGAAATGGCTAGAACCATGCTTTATGAAAATAATTGCAGAAATATTTTGGGCGGAAGCCATAAATACCGTTTGTTATGTTGTAAATCGAGTAATGATTAG